CTCACCATTTAACTGCTTGCTTTTCTTCCATTGCTGAATTGCTAATCTCTCAACAGAACACAGCAATCCACCAACCTTAACAGAAGTTACAGCTATGTATGATATATTATACGACATAACAGAAGCTAGAAATGCCGTGTTGGAGGTGACAAACAGAAGTGCAAACAAGCACACGCCTTCACAGTCTCACAGAAATTAAAATCTCATCACCTTTTAATACATTTCCCCAGTAAGGCCCCAAAATAAACAAACAAACAAACAAAAAAAACCTCAACAATTTACTTAATTCTTTTTACATAGTCTAAACTGCAAACCCTCCAAGATAATTTTTCTCACAATTAGGTCACTTTAATGTGACAACCTTTTTCTACTGCTTGAGAGATAAAGATTTTTTTGTATGGCTCTAATGAAGATGAATGTTAAAATATTCTCAGATTTGTTTTGGTGGGCAGAGCCCTTTCACTCAGCCTAATTCTTTCCCAACTGACTTCTGGGGCAACAGCTGCTATTAAGGCCACACAAAGAGAAGTGCTACTAGGAGGACAATGCGATCAAAATCAAATGGAGCCTTGGAAAAGGAAATTAGGCCTGGTTCAGCCTATAAACTGCAGAGGCTGAACTGCCTCAAAAGTATCTGTGAACATAACGTATTTTTATACCATTTTGCAAAGTGCCCAATCACTAGTAAACACAAGCTCAGCTATTAAAAAACAATAATCAAATAATAATAAAAAAGATTAATGGTGATTAGACATCCAATATTAGTGCTTTATATGCTATATAACTTATATCTTCTTTGGCAGGCTACCACTATGCAGAACAAAATTCTGAATCTGTTGGAATATGCCTCAAAAATGTTATTAGTCTCAGTGAAGTCCAGATTTCATAGGGGCCATCCAGAACACTGGAAACCTTATCCACACAAGAGCCCACAAATTTGGCAACACCAGCAAAGTCAGATCAGTGTTAGCGACAGTGGGAAATTCCTGCTAGATGAAATTTCTTGTTTGTATCACCTCCTAGAACACTGCCAGCTAATGCTTCATTCAGTACCTCATGGGTCATCCAGCTCTTCACTATTAAGCCCTCTCCTGGCAAACAGCACCTTCTCACATACTCGCTTCAGCCAACGCAAAAACAGGAACTATAATCAGATGCAAAGCCATTTTTTACACCAAATACAAACTGTATTTTCTCAATTACCATTTAATATGTTTGTCACTGTCTCCGCCAGTTTAAATTCACAGTTGTAAATTATTTCAGCTTCATGTTTGCAAATGATCTCCTCACTCTTACTTAAACAAAAATAACATTTATTCAAAAAAACAAACAACAAAAAGAAAACAAAAAAAAAATCTTACCTGATTGTATTAATATACACTAAACTATTTTGACTCACCCCATCACTTAACTTCCTCCTCCAATAACTTTTATTTATATTTTGCTTGAGTGGCATGCAAAGAAATAATTCCCTTGAAATTTTATTCCTCAAGTCTTAATCTAGAGATAATTTCAAAATTTTACCATGAAATATATAGCATTTTTCTCCTTCCAGAGCCTTAGAGCTATCAGCAAGTGGGCTCTGGACATACATCAAGCCTCGACATTTGATTGCTTTTCGAACTTTCACTTTTGAGTTCTTCAATTAGATGCAGTAATTCCATAGTTTCTGAGCATAAGTAGAAGAGAAGGTCATAAATTAAATTGGACACGGTGAGTTACTTTCCTTCTTCCTTTGTTGAGAATAGCCATACATGGATACGGAACAAAAAAAGGAGAAGAAAAACCATATATGACTTTGCACTAGGTAGTCATAGAACACCATTCACTTCTGCTTCACAGTGAGCATGTTACAGACATGGGCCATGGCAATCACAACAGCATTGCAGCTGGATGTACACTAGAGTTGCTATGTTTTGCTACGTGCATACACCTGTGATCTCAGTCTATTGCTGTATCACTTTGCTAAATCAAAAATCCAGTATCATACACTTTCAAAGTAACTGTTTATGTGATTGGTAAAATGTCTCTGAGTGTAGAATACTCAAAGGAACCTGGATGAGAGAGCACTGGACCCTGACAACAGCCCCAACTGTTCTGTCTAAGGATCTGAACATCAGTTAAAATACTATTTACTATACTGATACCTGTAACTATCCACACGGTGTATAGAGCTGCCTTGCTTATACTAAGTGAATTCCTTCTCTTCAAAACATATCCAGATTCTAAGAACCTCTAAACTTACTACATTAATGACACTTTTATCTTTCATTGAAACTTTCTTCAGCTCTGTGCACAAACCCTGTGCATAAGAGTAAGGACACAAAACAAATACCCAGAATGACTCGACAAAAGTCACTTGGAAAACAAGCAGCAGAAAGTGAAGCAAGACACAGATCTCATGCATTCTAGCCCGTTAGACAACACTGCTTCTTAATCTCTTTGATCAGATGATCAAAGATAATCTATTATGAATTAAGTTCTTCAAGCATGATGCAATGATATACACAACACTGAAGAAAAAAAAATACCGATCACATAAAAAGAAAATATTCTCTCTGTTTGTTAAGTTTCATACACTTAACAACTTTAACATGAATTATAAAAACAGCACAGTAAGCAAAGGTAAAGACAGGTATTTATACTACAGTCAGCTGATGCCATTGAATTTATATGGAAAGTATTCACATAGTTGATATAGATAGTCTATATACAGTGCCATTGTAATGGCAGCAACTTTGCAAATGGAAAAAGGGCGTTTCCTTCTGGTGTACAGCCTTGGCAAGGAGTTTTGCACTTTTATATCCTCTCTCTGATGCCTCCCACAGAGACATAAGGCAGTTTCTGACTTAAGATGTATTTAATGCACCAAGCCCACCTGACAGAATCAGCTTAACCACTTTATGACATCTATACATTTTCATTGCACACAGTTTTAGCATATCCCCACAGACACGTGTTCCTTAAGTCTAAGGCCAGTGCTTCATGATATTTACAGGAAATAAGTTAGCCTATTCATTTTTTGAGGGGGAAAAAAAAAAGTCTCCCCAGAGACATCTGGGGCAAAAGGTTTCAGTGATTCACTCAGTCATTGAAGCAAGAATTAGCTATGTGGGCATTTACACTGGAGACACAGCTACTGACATTCAAAGTCAGGAGTTAATTTGGGGAGCTTTCAGTCAGTTGCCAGCTGCGAGCTTGCAGCAAGATTTCTGTCCCATACATTAATGAAAAACCCACATTTTAACAGTACCGCTGCCGACCCAAACCGAAACTATGGAGTTCTGGCATTGTAATGGAAGGGAGTTCCTCATGAATAGGTCAGTTGATGATAGATGAGAACTTTTAACTTACAGCATAGGAAGAAAAGTATTAACTAGTGGTATGTCTCTTGGCCTGGATTTCTTGGACACTCACATATATCAATTTAGTTGTATATTATGATACTTTTATTACAGTCACTGTTTGGAATATTTCAGTACTGTCACATAGTTAATCTAGATTTATAAAATAAACATGTCTAGTGAATCTACTAGTAGGGAGGAAGGACAGCCCTGAAATTTGGCTCCAGAGTCAGAGGTCTAGGAGCCTGATTCCTACTTCTGACACAATCCACATGAGACTAACTAAAGAAGCCGTTTCATTTTCCAAAGCCTGTTCTGCCTCATTTCTGCAGAAGCCTGATTAGCACTGCTCTAATTTTAAGCTCAAATATTAATCTACTGCTCCACATTTTTAAAAAATGCAAATTAAAGCACCCATCTGGTAAAATCATATTTGTTCCATTTGCAGTAAAAATAATCTACTCCCCTTGGAGATTCACAAAGTTCCTTAGGCTACAGTAGCCCAGTGGCCTTTATTCCCTCAGATCACCGTAAGTAATGCTGTCCAGATTACGTACAAGCAAGTCAACCATCTTCAGGTTTTGCTTTTGATAATGTCTGTACAGGATATGGCTAATACATTTGTGCAAATACAATTCCAGGCATTATTTACCTTAAGCATACCTAATAAAGTTTAAATGACACCAAAAGGAATGCCTAAGTTTTATGTTAGAACCCTAGAACTATATGTAAGGTTGACAGTTGAAAATAACATTAGGAACCACTTGCAAACAAAAGCAAGTATGACACGAGTCTACCCTTCATATATTTCAGATTAAAACCACTCTTGAGAAGATATTAAAGCTGTAATTCAAAAACTGTTACTTCGGAAGATCTAAGTCATAACAGTGCTAACGTCTTCATTTACGGATAATATAACATTCACAAGTATTTTTTTTATGACAGTACTCTTATTCCAAATGATTGTCACATGCTATTTGTCACCATAATTAGAGTCTAGTCTATGCCTTTCCAGCCTCAGTATTTTTTAAATGCTTTGTAATCTCTATGAAATTATTGGTCATCATTAAATAGTCGATGTATTCTGTATTTCTGAGACTGAGGAAGCAGATTAACTACTCATCAAAACCATCTCAGGAATTGGCAGCGTATGCCACCCAATAAGGAAGGAATGGAATGGACAGGATGGAAGGAATTTTTAATTCCAAAGACGTATGAAAGAAAACATGCATTTTTAATGAACATATTATCCTTGTCTTAGCTTTAGCAACATTAATAATGATGACAGTCATTTATGATAACATTCACTGTAAAAATAGGCCTGGGAATATCCTCTTTGGTTAGACTGTTTAATTTGAGATTTTACTTGATTTATTATAGCTGGTCTGCTGTTTATATATATAAAATGAGATCTTCACGGCCTAGCATTCTTTTACACATTTTTCCTACTAAGTTAGTAAAAACATGTTGTATCGATCAACTAAAATTTGTTTGATGAGTCTAAGAATGAAGATTTTTTATTTGGGGTTAATCTCATGCAGTATTTGCAGCTTCCCATAAAACATCAAAAGCAATTTTACATATACCAAGGGAACACAGAATTTTCTAAATGACTTTAAGGAAACCACTGTTAGAGCTGCGTAGCGTATCTCCCACCTTTTAAAAGCTGTATTTGTCAAAAACAGTGCCTTCAAAACTGCAGATCAGGATATTGAAATATGCTGTTTAAGGAAACAGAAACAAATTACGGTTGAAGAGACAGCATACAAGGGTGATACATAACCCAGCTCTCACTGGGAACCCCTACAACACTCAACAGAGACAATTTGTTGCAACCAACCCAGTGCTCCCCCTAGATGCACTAGATGCTCCCCCGAGATAACTGTTGCCCAAGAGAACGTGGAACATGGCTGCATCCATCTTCCTCTCAAGGACAGCACAGATTTACCCTCTCTGCTTGACCCAGCATCCTTTATTTTCCCCCTCTCTTATAAAAATTGGAATGCAATTATCTTTAAGATCTCCAAACTTGCTTTCATCCTTCATTAAAATTGATTTCAAGGTTCTACACTGAGAGGCCAAAAGGCTTCAGACTGGTGCAAACATGTAACTGGATTTCCTTTGGAAATGCGAATAAAAACCACTGAAGTGATGATCAGAAGATGGTCTCCTGACTCACACTAAGCCACTGCCGCTCTCTGAAGACAGGTCTCCAGCGAGCGAGAAGCGTGACAAGCTTTATACGGCCCTCAGAAGCCAACCCCTGGGGGACCAGGGCTGTCATCACGCAGCGCGGCTGCGTACGTCCAAAAGATGGCAGTGGTGAACAAACATCCACGAGAGGGGACAGCACAACCGGGAGCAGAAACACAACAAACAAACCGGGTGCAGAGAGAGGCCTCGACAGCAGTCTCAAAGCTCAGCAGGCACAAGTTTTCCATACACCTGCCTCACGAGTTTGCAATATACCTTAAATAAAAGGCCTGGAGATTACTTGAAATATCACTGTGGTGGTGAATTTCACGAGACAATGTCTCAATGTTGGACAAAGAATGAAAGTAATGTAAACAGTGCACATAATCAAGTTCAAAAGGGAAAAGAAATTGAAAGTTGTTTGGTGCAGTGGCCATAAATAGGAAAGCTTTAAGAAAAGGATTCAAGGATTTTGACATGAAAAAATACCTCAAACTATTGTAATCACACAACAAACAATCATACCATGAAGGAAAACTCGAAAACTGCCCTCCTTTTCACAGGCCACTAAAACTGTGCCCCACCAATTTCACCTGCGGTATTCATCACCATGACACAGCACAGTAACTGCTATCCCATTATAGATGCTTTTCTACATCAAAAATGGCAATTATATCATTGCTACCTGCCTCGGGAAAAGACAAATCTCAGGGGAGAACGTCAGGAAATGGCTTTTCTGACTCACACAAGCCCCGCACGCCTCCAGGCGCTGGAGCTGGCCGGTACCAGCCAGCACCGACCCAAACCCAACGGTCACTAACGGCGCGTGCGGGGGCACGCGAACCCCCCCCCCGCCCGGCTCCCTGCCGGCCGCGGCAGCGCGCATGCGCAGAGCCCCTGCCGCCGTGCGCGCCCCGGCA